CTTCCTCTGTTTCTTATTTTAGTGACCTGTAGTTTCCTGTGAAGAGATCCTTTACTTCTTTGGTTAAGTTTATTCTTAAGTATCTTTTTTTTCTTTTTCTTTTTTTATTTTTTGTTCAGGTAGAGTGGGAGGGAGAGAGAGGAACAGAGAGAGAGAGAGAAACATCGATGTGAAAGGAACACGTCGAGTGGCTGCCACCCGCACAACCGACCAGGGCCGGGGACAAACTGCAACCGAGGTACGCGCCCCTAGCGGGAACCGAACCCGGGTCTCTCAGGACCGCAGGCTGACGCTCTAACCACTGAGCCAAACCGGCCAGGGCTATTCCTAAGTATCTTAATTATTTTTGCCACGATGGTAAATGGGATTGTTTTTTAGTTTCTCTTTCTGTGAGTTCATTGTTGGTGTATAAAAATGCCATCGATTTCTTGACCTAAATTTTGCATCCTGCTACTTTGCCAAATTCACTTATTAAGTCTAGTAGATATCTGATGGAATGTTTATGGTATTCTATGTACAATATCATGTCGTCTGCAAATACTGACAGTTTCACTTCCTCCTTTCCAATTTGGATCCCTTTTACTTTTTCTTCATGTCTAAATGCTATGGCTAAGACTTCCAGTACTATGTTAAATAAGAGTGGCAAAAGTGGACATCCCTGTCTTGTCCCCATTCTTAAGGAAAATATTTTTAGTTTCTGCCCATTGAGTATGATGTTGGCTGTAGGTTTTTCATATATGGCCTTTATTGCTTAGTGATATGATTCCTCTGTTTCCACAATGCTGAGCATTTTTATCAGAATTAGGTGCTGGATTTTGTCAGATGCTTTTTCAGCATCTACTTAGGTCATCATATGGTTTTGATCTTTCATTTTGTTTATGTGGTGTATCACATTTATTGATTTGTGAATATTGTACCATCCTTGCATCCCTGGGGTGAATGCCACTTGGTCATAGTGAATAATTTTTTGATGTATTGCTGGATCCGATTTGCTAATTATTATTTTAAGGATTTTGGCATTTGTGTTCATCAGGGATATTGGCCTGCAGTTTTCTTTCTTTGTAGTGTAGTTATTTGGTTTTGAAATTAGAATTATGCTGGCCTCATAAAATGAGATTGGAGGTCTCCCATCTTCTTGGATTTTCTGGAGTAGTTTGAGAAGAATGGGTATTAAATCTTCTTTGAATGTTTGGTAAAACTCCTCTGTGAAGCCATCTAGGCCTGGGCTTTTGTTGGCTGAGAGTTTCTTAATTACATCTTCAATTTTTAGTTGTTATTCATCTGTTCAAGTTTTCTATCTCTTCCTGGTTCAGTTATGGGAGACTGCATATTTCTAGAAATTTGTCCATTTCACCTAGATTATCCAATCTGTTGGCATATAATTGTTCATAGTATGTTTCGATGATTCTTTGTATTTCTGTGGCATCAGTTTTTACTTCTCTTCTTTTGTTTCTGATTTTGTTTATTTGGGTCCTCTCTTTTTGTTTCTTGGTGAGTCTGGCTAAAGATCCACTGATCTTGTTTATCTTTTCAAAGAACCAGCTTTTTATTTCATTGATCTTTTGAACTGTTTTTAGTCTTTATGTCATTTATTTCTGATCTGACCTTTGCTATTTCTTTCCTTCTACTTGCTCTGGGTTTTTTGTTTGTCTGTCTGTTTGTTTGTTTGTTTGTTTGTTTTCTTTCTTTCTAGTTCTTTAAGTTGTAGGATTAAAGAGTCAATTAGGAATTTTTCTTGTTTTTTGAGGTAGGTCTGTAGTACTATGAACTTCCCTCTCAGGACTGCTTTTGCTTCATCCCATAAATTTTGTGTTGTTTTGTGTTTGTTTTATTGGTTTTAAGGAAGTTTTTAATGTCTTCCTTGATCTCATTGGTAACCCATTCATTGTTTATAACGTGCTATTTAGCCTCCAAGTGTTTGAATGTTTTTGTGTGTTTTTGTTGTAATTGAGTTCTAGTTTCATGCCATTGTGATCTGAGAAGATGATTATATGATTTTTCAATCTTTTTGAATTTGTAGAGACTTACTTTGTTTCCTAACATGTGGTCTATCTTTGAGAATGTCCCATGTGCACTTGAGAAGAATCTATAATCTGCAACTTTGGGGTGAAATGTTCTGTAAATATCAATTAAGTCTAACTGATCTAGGTCATCATTTAAGGACTCTATGTCTTTGTTAAGTCTTTGTCTAGAAGATCTATCCAGTGGTGTCAGTGGGATGTTAAAATCACCCCCTATGATCATATTGCTATTGATCTGTCCCTTGAAGTCCTCCAGAAGTTTTTTAATATATTTTGGTGCTCCCATATTTGGTGTGTATATGTTTACCAGGGTTATATTCTCTTGTTGGATTGATCCTTTTTATATTATGTAGTGACCTTTTTTTGTCTCTTATTGTCTTTCTGTCTTTTAATTGTTTTTTTCATTTTGGTTTTATGATTGGGTGATGTTTTTTTACCCTATCTCTAATTCACTAATCTGGTCCTCAGCTTTCTCTACTCTGCTGGTTATTCTTTCCAATGTGTTCTTTATTTCTGCTATGTCATTCTTCATTTCCAATTGATTGGTTTTCAATGTTTCTATATCTTTACTCATGGTGCTGAGCTCTTTATTCATGTTTTTGAGCTTCCTCATTATCATTAGTCTGAACTCTACCTCAGATAACTTGCTTAACTGCATTTCATTGATCTCATCTTTAGTAGAATTTTCTTGTTCTTTCATCTGGGACTTTTCCTTTGTTTCACAATTTTGGCTATCTCGGTGTGTTTTGGAGCCTGCCAATCTTTTACTGTGGGTGTTGGTGTTCTGCTGTTTGTGGCTCCCTCTACTGGGTTTGGATGAGTGTGGGAGGACCAACATTAAACATCATTGTCAAGTTTTCCTTTTCTGGGTAGATTTACAAGCCCAGAAAATGTTCAGTTATCCTTTAGCTTTTTGCCTGGAGGCTATTAGTCTCAGTTACCTGATAAGCCTTGGGTTGTAGCCTTCAGCTAAATATAAAAATCCCTCAGGTGTTCAGGGTAAGTGGATTTCCAGAGGGTGGAGCAGATGCTGGCTATTAATGAGCCTCAATTTGCATTTCTCTGACCCAGCTGTGTGGAGTTAAATTTCTGAGGGAGGGGCTGTTGCTTCTTCCCAGGACTCTGGGAAGGGGCTCTTTGAGTAAATGTCTACTGTCCTGTGAGGGAGTGATTCAGCACAAAACTCCCAATTCCCTCCCAGCTCTCCAAGCTCCTGAGTGTCCACACAGTTGCAGCCCAATCTGCCTTCCCTCTTCCAGAGCACAAAGTGAGTGGCTGTAGCTAATTTAGTGCTCTGTCCTGGCCCTCTGCACTGTGAACAGGCTTGGGATTTTAACCCCAAGGGAGCTGCTCACGGCTAAAACAGCTGCCTCAGTAGGCTCCCAGGCCACCCTCTTGCACCTCCACGAATCCTACCAGGCTTGATTCAGTGTCCTTTTGTCCTGTTCCTGGTTATATGGGTCCTCTCCAGCTGCTTTTCTGTTGCTTTTTCCTGATGATTTGTCTTTATTTTAGTTGTAATCCCAGTTTTGTCCTGGGAGATGGTCTTTGTAGCTTTCATTCACTCCACCACCATTTTGGAATCTGACTTTAGTTTTTTTAATGTCTTTAATAAAGTCCATTTTATCAAGTATTTCTGTCATGACTAGTGCTATTTGTGTTCTGTCTAATAAACCTTTTTCTACCTCAATTTCATGAAAATACTCTTCTATGTTTTCTTCTAAAAGGTGTATAATTTTAGCTTTTATGTTCAGGTCTATGATTCATCTAGAATTAATTGCATTTTCCTTACCATGAAAATGATATATGTTGCTATGCAGATTTTCTTTCATTTCTGTCTATAGTGTTCTATAGTTTTCAGTGTATAGGTTTTATATATCTTTCATTTAATTTCTTTTTTATGAAAACATATGCATTTTATAAAAACATATGCATTTTATAAAATGTATGCTATTGCAGGTAATGTTTAAATAATTTCATTTTTTAAATTATTTATTGCTAGTAAATAGAATTCTGATAGATTTTACCTTGATGATTTTTTAAAAATTTTTTTCATGTAGCAAATATATTTGTTTTATGTATCTGATTATTCTAATACTTTTGTCTTTTGTGAGTCTGATTTTTCTAGTAGTACCTTTTTTCCTTAAATGTTGTGTGATTTTTTTTTTTTTACTATGATCTCATGTTCAATGGAATTTTGTGTGGATTACTTGGGGCCTAGGTTGAAAGTGGATTTCTCCAGAAAGTTTTCTTGATTACTTCTTATGTGTACCTGGGAGCACTACCAACCCAGGATTATTTTTAAATAAATTTTTAGCATCAGTGTAAAATAAATAGGACACTTGCGATATGAATTTGGGCAACAAACTTGTGTAACAGTTAGCTTTTGATGATAAAATTTTAGCACGCTGGTGAAAACGTGCAAGGTTCCCCTATTTTCTGCCTCAACACAGCTCTGCCCTCCCTCCCAGTTCATGTTCCATGCCCTCCTGAGCCCCAAACCTCTCTGAGTCTTTCTTTTCCTTGTTGCAGCTTTCTGCTTGGATGCTCATATGATAAGGATGAACCTGAGCCAATCCCCCCAGATGTATTTCTGGAAAATATGATTTACTTATGCCCAGCTTTACTTTGCCTAGCTTTGGGCTAAGAGCTAGAATAGAAATGTGAAAAAGGCACATGACCTGTCTTCATGGCACTCACAGTTTGGGAGGAAAAAGTAGTGACTAATACTTTTGAGTTCTTTTCTTGTGCCAGCCACCATCTGGGTGTTTTCACATATGTCACTCTGTCCTGGGAATGACCTTGCAGAGCTGGCTTTCTCATGGTATTTTTTGGATGAGAAACCCAGCCTGCAGGGCCTGTGGGTGGTAAGTGTGGCACTAGGATTTGAGCTCCCTGCCCTGGGAGCCTTCCTTTAGAGAGAGACAGAGTGACTGCCACTGCAGCCCAGTGACCCGATGTCTCCTGGCTCTCTCACAGAGGCTCTGCAGCCCCGTGTACTGCAGGTACCAGTTTCATAAGACTCCGGTTCACCAGACTGAGGGGAAGCCTCATGGAAGCCACATCTCCTTCCAGGACATCAATGTCATCTTCCTTGGGACAATGCATCCCAGTGAGCTGAGGGAATACCTGGAGGGTCCTCCCATGGTTGTAGAAGTTCATGACCGTGACCGAAAGTCAGAGGAGTATTCCCGGAAGCCCACCCTGTTTGGGGAGGATCCTCTGGATTCATGCCTCAACTTTCAAGTCCTCATCTCTCCCAAAGAGACAGAGAACAACCCCTTTGAAACCCAAACCAAGATATGGGACCCTTATGGAGTTGCCCGGGTAAGTTTTGCTGACCTCCTCCTCGGCCACAAGTACTTGAACTTGGCTATCCCGATCCACAGCTGTGAGTCCAAGCCCACACAACATGGCCATGACAGCAAGATTAGGAAGGTTGTGGGGTTTAGGGTCCCTACAGATGTCCTTCATCATGGCCCAATGCCCATGGGCAACTACTTAGAGTCCAACTCCCTGCTCAAGCTGAGAGTGGATATCGCGGTGCCACTGCGAACCATGGCAGAAACCCCCAGTGCAGACCTCACAGGCACCAAATTTGGCCGCATCATTTTTGTATTTGGCTCTAGGAAGATCTTCCTCCTATATAACCTGCTGCAGGACATCACCATGATAAATGCCAAAGCCCTTGATCTGGACTCCTACCCTATCACGAACATCCAGCAGATCCTGTCAGCCATTAAGATTCGGGTGAATATCCAGGAAAGGCAGGATCTGGATGTCCTGACTGGCTTCTACCTGCTGGATGGGAAGATCCACCTCCTCATTTTGGAAGGCTTGGCTGACCAAGGCTTGAAGCGGCTCTGGGAGAGCTACCAAAGCCGGTAGGTGGCATCTGGATACGAGTGAATGGAGAGATCTCTCAAAGTCAAGCTGAGGTTCCCCGTCCTCTGTGAGAGAAATATGTTCACTCATTTACTCTTTTTTTATCCTCACCCGAGGACATTTTTCCATTTTTTGTTCAGGTAGAGTGGGAGGGAGAGAGAGGGACAGAGAGAGAGAGAAACATCGATGTGAAAGGAGCACGTCGAGTGGCTGCCACCCGCACAACCGACCAGGGCCGGGGACAAACTGCAACTGAAGTACGCGCCCTTAGTGGGAACCAAACCCTGGTTCTCAGGACCGCAGGCCGAAGCTCTAACCGCTGAACCAAACCGGCCAGGGCAACTCATTTACTCTTAAAGTTTATTATAATGTGCTCCTCCAGGATCAATAATTGGATTTTTATAACAAGAAGAATTGATTGTCTTAAGACTTTAGGGATATATAGAAGAGAAAGTGGTTTAGGAGAATGAGTCCAGCCTTCAGACTTCTGAGGGGCCTACTTGGTTAAGAAGGAGCAGAATGTTGTATATGGCCCTGGTCCAAGTTTATGGAGCCAAAATATTGCAAATTGGGAGAAAAAAAAGACAATGTGTTTTATGACATTAAGGTAAACACCACAAAGAAATAGAATTCAACTCCCCCAGGCAAGCTGTATCTGACTATTTTGAATATAGAAAATTCCCCTTCACTGAAGGCTTTCAGGAGTACCTGATGGTTGCTCAGTGGGGACATTGTAGAGGCAACTAAAATATCTGATTCTAGGCTGGAGCAAGTGGTCCCACACAGGTCTTCCATTTTTTTAGATTTGATGACAGGATAATTCTTTTTTCCTTTCATGATTTTCAAGTATCCTAGTTTGGGTAAATAGGACCTCCCTCTTTTAGTCTGCAGGTTCCCTGTTTGTCCTCATAGCTCAGATACCCCAGGACCCAGATGTTGATAACAGCAGAAAGTCTTGAAGTTGAGTCTATCCACCCATCAGGGGAGTGCAGCCCTGTGGAGGCCTGCTTTGATATGCTGATGGGCCAAGACGCACTGGGGAGAAACTGGCCTTATGTCTGGTTTTTCTGCCCAAGAAAATGGAAAACATATGTCCACACAAAATCACACTCATAAATGTTCATTGCACCATTACTTATAGTAATCAAAAAGTGAAAATAGCACATATGTTCATCAACCAATGAATGTGATGTGTTCATACAATGGAATAATATTCAGCCATAAAAAAATGAATGAAGTACTACTTATACACATACTTCACTGTGAATGAACCTTGGAAATATCATGCTAAGTCAACAAAGCAAAACATAAAAGACCACATATTATATGATTCCATTTATGTAAAATATCTGGAATAGTCAAATCCATAGAGATGAAGGTAGATCAGTGGTTGTCAGTGTCTCAGAGGAGGCATGAGGGAGAAGTGGGGAATGATGCTCACAGTACAGTGTCATTTCTGAGTGATGAAAATATTTGAGAATTAGTATTTATGGTTGCATAACATTGTGAATATACTAAAAAAAAAAAACACTGAACTGAATACTTTACAAGGGTGAACTTTGCAATATGTTGTAAAGAATTTGGCCTTGCCCAAGAGAGGTCAGGCCTTTGCCCTTGTCTTCTGGAAAGGAATCTGTGTTATACCTAATAGGAGGGTCTTTGTTTAGGTTGGGAGTTGACCACACCAGATCTCAGGGTGGGAGCAGCCTCACCTGATAGTCATAAGTGAGGTTGGCTGTGCCAAAAAGACCAACAATGTGATTTACAGTGGGAGCTTTGGATCATGTGGTATCCCTTGACATGGAGACCAAGATTGCCTCATGGGCCATCTAGCAATTAATCAATCATGCCTCTGTAATGGAGCCCCAATAAAAACTCTGGACACCAAGACTTGGAGGAGTTACTCTGTGCATATTGTCACTCATTCGCGTTGTAAGGGCAACACATCCTGACTCCATGAGGAAAGGACAGCAGAAGCTGTGTTTGCAGCCATCCTGGACCCTGCTGTATGTACCTCTTTCTTTGGCTGATTTTCATGTGTATCCTTTTCCTATAATGAGGTGTGTGAGCATAACATTTTTCTGTGAATTCTCCTAGCAAATTGATAAACCTGAGTGTGATTTTATGAACTTTACTATGGTACCCCTGGAACTTTCCACTGGTATCACAAATCAGGTCAGTTTGGGGGACTGTGCCTTCAAATCTTGCAGTTTGGCTAACTCAGGTCATGTGGCATGTAAATTATATCTCATTGAAAAGATTTTGTCCAATGGTAGAAATAACATAGAGTATGTTCACTGACTCCAGTTCAGTTATGCTAGACATAAAAAATATTATTAACAAGAAAAAGTTCATGGGGTGAGGGGGAGAGGGAGGAAGGTGTCAATGGGGAAAAAATGAGAAACATCTGTATCAAAAACAAATTAATAAATAAAAAGATTTTTTAAAAATAGCTCTTAGAACAGGGTACAAAAAAAGATAAAATTTATTATATGTAAAATATACCTTAGCTTTAAAATTTTTTAGAGAGAGAAAAAGATAGCCCATTTATGCTCCTGGGGTGGCAGGGTGGTAAAATAGTTAAGAATATATGGGCTCTGTAGCCAGAAAGGAGAGAAGATGAAAAGGCTCAAGGAGGTCAAATATATGATGATGGAAGGAAACTGGATACAGGTGATGTATTATACAATTATACACTTAAAACATATAATGTTACTAACCAATGTTACCTCAATAAATTTAACTTTAAAAAAAATTCATATACTTAAAAATTAACAAATATTTTCAAATAACCCATAGGTCAAAGGAGAAGCTGTAATGGAAATTAGACATTTTTGAACTGAACAATAATGAAAATAGTATAATATCTAAATTTGTAGAATGATGTTAAAGCATTATTTAAAGGACACTTTATAGCCTTAAATTTTTATATTTAAAGAAAAAAAAAAGGCTGAAAATTACTGACATTTGCAGACATTGAAATAAGGGTTTTATGGTATCAATCAGTATTAAAATTAATTACAAATTTACCAAAAATTAATACCAAAAATATTTTTAGATTAGATGGTTTCACGAGGTTTCTCAATATAGAAATTAATGTATTTAACAACTGACACCACAGAAATACAAAAGATCGTTAACAACGACTATGAACAATTATACGGCAACAAATTCGAAAATCTAAACAAAATGGACAAATTTCTAGAAACACATAGTCTCCCAAAACTGGATCAGGAAGAGATAGAAAACTTGAACAGACCAGTAACAACAGAAGAAATTGAAGATGTAATCAAGACTCTCCCAGCAAACAAAAGCCCAGGCCCTGATGGCTTCACGGGGGAGTTTTACCAAACATTCAAAGAAGAACTAATACCCATTCTCCTCAAACTATTTCAAAAAATTCAAGAAGAAGGAAGACTTCCAAACTCGTTTTATGAAGCCAGCATAATTCTAATTCCAAAACCAGAAAAAGACACAACAAAGAAAGAAAACTATAGGCCAATATCCCTGATGAACATAGATGCCAAAATCCTGAACAAAATACTAGCAAATCGAATCCAGCAATACACCAAAAAATTATCCACGATGACCAAGTGGGATTCATCCCAGGGATGCAAGGCTGGTACAATATTCGCAAATCCATAAATGTGATACACCACATAAACAAAATGAAGAATAAAAACCACATGATAATATCAATAGATGCTGAAAAAGCCTTCGACAAAATCCAGCATCCATTTCTGATAAAAACGCTCAGCAGTGTGGGAATAGAGGGATCATATCTAGACATAATAAAGGCCATATATGAAAGACCTACAGCCAACATCATACTCAATGGGCAAAATCTAAAAGCATTTCCCTTAAGAACAGGAACAAGGCAAGGATGCCCACTTTCGCCACTCCTATTTAACATAGTACTGGAAGTCTTAGCCACAGCAATCAGACAAGAAGAAAAAATAAAAGGGATCCAAATTGGAAAGGAGGAAGTGAAACTCTCATTATTTGTACACGACATGATACTGTACATAGAAAACCCCAAAGACTCCACCAAAAGTTTACTAGACTTAATAAATAAATTTGGCAAAGTAGCAGGATACAAAATTAACGTCAAGAAATCGATGGCATTCTTATACACCAATGATGAACTCACAGAAAGAGAAACTAAGCAAACAATCCCATTTACCATTGCGGCAAAAAAATTAAGATACCTAGGAATAAACTTAACCAAAGAAATAAAGGACCTATTCGCAGAAAACTACAGGTCATTAAAAAAAGAAATAGAGCAAGATATAAAAAAGTGGAAGCACATACCCTGTTCATGGATTGGGAGAATTAACATCATTAAAATGTCCATATTACCCAAAGCAATCTATAGATTCAATGCAATCCCCATCAAAATACCAATGCATACTTCACAGAATTAGAACAATCACTTCAAAAGTTCATATGGAACCACAAAAGGCCTCGAATAGCCACAGCAATCTTGAAAAGGAAGAACAAAGTTGGAGGGATCACAATACCAGATTTCAGATTGCTATAGATTCAACGCAATCCCCATCAAAATACCAATGGCATACTTCACAGAATTAGAACAATTACTTCAAAAGTTCATATGGAACCACAAAAGGCCTCGAATAGCCACAGCAATCTTGAAAAGGAAGAACAAAGTTGGAGGGATCACAATACCAGATTTCAGGTTATACTACAAAGCCACTATAATCAAAACAGCCTGGTACTGGCACAAGAACAGGTAATAGACCAGTGGAACAGAATAGAGAACCCAGAAATGGACCCAAGGCAATATGCTCAATTAATATTTGACAAAGGTGGCAAGAGCATACAGTGGAGTAAGGACAGCCTCTTTAATAAATGGTGCTGGGAAAATTGGACAGCTACTTGCAGAAAAATGAAACTAGACCATCAACTTACACCCTACACTAGAATAAACTCAAAATGGATAAAAGACTTAAATGTAGCTCATGAATCCATAAAAATCCTA